AACAGTGGTATGGAACACTAGAACTTATTCCCCCTGTCGAGCTGTCACTTTGTATCCTTTAACAAATCCAAGCTACTTTTAGAAGGGCTAATGTCAATCATAAGGGTGGTGCCCCCATGACTTCATCATTCCCCAAAGGCCCCACTTCTTAGCACTATCACAAGGGGTATTAGGTTCCAACAAATGAATTTGGGGTGGAGAGCACCAACATTTAGATCATAGCAAGTGTTTAGGAAAATACTAAAATCGAGCCTACTCTTTTAAACAACCTTTAGGCAATTAAAATGTCATAGGAGTGATTTTAGTGATTTATACGGAAGTCAAAAGTCCCAAAAGTTTTCATATTACAAATGTTCCTATGAGAAACATGTACATCTGTAAAACAAACAAGCAAACAAGCAAAAGGAGGAAATGAGAGTTCTAAACTTATGACACCACAAGAAAACTCCAAAACAGAGGTCTGTACTGAGGTATTGTGGGCCACAGTGCGCTGCCCACACACCGGGTTTTGTGAGAGGTCTGGACTGGAGCTTGTTTGTACATTTTTTCTTCTCTCCTTTGCTTAAACTGTTATCAGACCTAGAGACCACTCCCACATCATCACATTATCAGACCTAGAGACCACTCCCTCCAACTCCCAGACTGAAATGTTCTACCACCATGGTCCCAGCTAGTCCAAATCATCATCTCCTCCAAGGTCCAGACCTCAGGGCCCCCCAGCTGAACTTCTTTTACGTCATCACATCATCAGATACTGCTTGAAGAGTCACTTGGCTCATGTCTTGATATTCCAGAAATCTCAAAGGCATTTGGCGAGGGCTGAGCCAAGTACTTTTTCCGCCTCCAGTTACCACAAAATCACATTGTTTTATACAGAGAAAAATCTGTTTCATGCTGATTTTTAAAGACTGTGCAAATTTATATCTTCTATACTCATGAATAAGAGCAACGAGGTTGACCGAAGTGACCGGAATTAGGCTTTATGACATGGGATTCTTAAACAATTGGATTAGAGTTAATGGAGAAGGATTTCCATCTGGTTCTCTTCCAGGTGTCTTGAGTTTTAATCAATTTTGTGTTTCCTCTGGCAGTGTTGGTTCATAGAAAATTTAACAAGTTTGGCCGGGTGCAGTGGCTCACACCTGTAATCCCAGCACTTTGAGAGGTGAAGGCAGGCGGATCACCTGAGGTCAGGAGTTCGAGACCAGCTTGGCCAACATGGAGAAACCCCATCTCTAGTAAAAATACAAAATTGACTGGGCGTGGTGGCGCATGCCTGTAATCCCAGCTACTCAGGAGGCTGAGACAGGAGAATCGCTTGAATCCAGGAGGCAGAGGTTGTGGTGAGCCGAGATTGCACCATTGAACTCCAGCCTGGGCAACAAGAGTGAAACTCTGTCTGAAAAAAATAAAAATAAAAAAAGAAAAGAAAATTTGACAAGTTTGTAGTGGTTTTACTGCAAGGAAAAACTACATCTTAAAAATGTGTTTACTCCAAATTGTACTATTAATAGATTTCTGAAAGCCTAAGTTTTCATTAAGAACTTTTTCTTTCAAGGTGTATCAGGTGAAAGCCTTGAGATGATTCTGGATTAGATATATGGCAAAGTTACTGTAAGATCAAAAGCCATTGTCCGGATGAAGAAATCTTCAGGGTCGATATGAATGCACGTAGGATGACTGATGGAATCCAAGAAAAGCTGCCATAGCTCTGATTTTGTCTTTTTGTTTTGTCTTTATGGACATGCTCTTGCTCTGTTGCCCAGGCTCGAGTGCAGTGATGATCATAGCTCACTGCAGCCTTGACCTCCTGGGCTCAAAGCTATCCATCCTCCTGTCTTAGCCTTTTTTTTTTTTTTTTTTTTTTTTTTTTTTTGAGATGGTGTCTTGCTCTGTCGCCCAGGCTGGGGTGCAGTGGTACCATCTCAGCTCATTGCAACCTCCGCCTCCCAGGTTCAAGCGATTCTCCTGCCTCAGCCTCCCAAGTAGCTGGGATTACAGGCGTGTGCCACAATGCCCGGCTAATTTTTGTATTTTTAGTAGAGACGGGGTTTCACCATCTTGACCAGGCTGGTCTCAAACTCCTGACCTCAGGTGATCCACCCGTCTCGGCCTCCCAAAAGTGTCGGGATTACAGGAGTGAGCCACCGCCCCTGGCCCCCCAAAGGCTTTAAAGTGAAGTGAATGAAGATTTCATTTTCCGATTCTGCTACAAATTGTGGGACCTTAAACAGGTTACTCATCTTCTCTTTGCTTTAGTGTTGTGGTCTGGAGCCTGATCTTCACTCTACCACTTACCCTGTACATCTTGGAAATTTTATTTTATTTCCTGTGACTGTTTCCTTGTCTTGAAGATGGATTATTCTAATATCCACTTCATAATCTTGTTTCATTTAAGGAGATCGATCATACGCGGGAAGCACGTAGAACAGCGCATGGAAGAGCACAAGTATTTCATAATGAGAAGCCGTGGCTGTTACTAATACTGTTATTACTAGTATCCGTATTTCCAGGCAGGGTTGTTGAGAAGGTGAAATGAAAGAACGCATACCAGGGCAGGCTACATAATTTGTGGAGCCCGGTACAGAATGAAAATGCAGGACACCTTGTTCAAAACTTCCTAAAAACGTCAAGACTGGGACAGCAGAGTATTAAATCAAGCGCAGGACCCGGACCTGCAAAGGTTGCAAGCTCGCAGACACCTTTGCACAGAGTGGGTGCTAAATAAATGCTCCGTTCACCTTTGTGAAGGCTCCTATGCCTCACTCGCGGCAGCACCGTTCACACTGACCACTGGTTGCATTTATCGCTGACATAAGGATGAGGCCTGGAATTGCATTCACGGCAGAGTCCCACCGGGAGGACCGACCCTTACCCCCGCCGACTCCCCCAGGTCGCCCTGCTGCAGGCCGCTCAGCTGCAGGCCCTCGGCACGGAGGCCACGCTCAGGGGTTCGGGGTCCATCCCGGCCTCCAGCTGCCGGGCCACCCGACTCGAGCGCAGCCGGGCGCCGCCGCGTCCCCGCGGTGTTTACTCGTTGCCCGAGGAGACGCCCGGGCCACCCGCCGGCTCCACGCGCCGCCGCCTAGCTCAGGGCCGGTTCCGGGTCCGAGCGCACCCTCGGGCTCGGGTCGCCATGAGCCGCGGCCGCTCCTCTGGCTCCGGGAGCCTGGACTGCACCAGCCATACCGCATTGGGCGCTGCTTCGCCCGCGCCGGAGGTACGGTCCCAGCTGCCGGCCGCGCGCGAGGGTGGCCCCGGGGATAGACGACCCCTGAGGGGCTGAGGCGCCCCTGATTTGCACCCTTTTCCTCCCGGAGGCATAGGCAGAATCAGAGCAGCTCTGTGCGCGCGTGGGCGGTGGCCTGGGACTGCCAGGGCGCTGATTTCAGGAGGGGATGGGCAGGACTGGAGTTTGCGGAGTGCGTCTGAATTTTAGGTTGTGCCACGCTGCTTCTCTGACCATTTAAAAATGTGAAATTCGAAAGACAGTGTGGCCGGGCAGTTCCTCCCCGCCACCTCTGGGAGCAAAGAATTTCTTCGTTTAACTTTTCTGGCTTAGCTACTGAAGTTTGCTTCGGAGCAATTTCTGGAAAATCTGATGTGGTAGGAGGAGGACCAGCCCGGAGTAGAGTCGCTGGCCCTTTCGTTGCGAACTAATCCAGAAACGTTGATAATTCAGTTGCTGCTGGATGCAGCTATTAATTTACCCCCAGGAGTTACTTAGGCTCTGGGGACTTTCAGGTATTAGATGTGCCAACGCGCGCGCGCACACACACGAACCTGCGCGCACAGACGCTCGTGCACACACGCGAAGACGCACACACGAGAGCAAACACGGGCGCGCACACACACGAACACGGGCGCATGCACACTTGGGCGCACAAGAAGATCTGGCTGGCTCAGCCTGGGTGAAGTATCCCGCTTTGGCCCTGGCATCGGGGCCCACCAGGTATAGTGTGTATCGGGAGTAGATGCCCGAAATGGAGATATTGTGTTCAGCTCAACTGCTAACGGCAAGTAGCTCACCCAGTTAGCAAATGATTGAGCATCTTTCTTTCTTTCTTTCTTTCCAAAGTTTTGGACTTTTCCTACCGCGCTGTGTACTAACCATAGATATCGCTGGGGGATGTAGTGAATTCAAAACATGAGTTGGATTCTCCAAGGCGCTATCGGAATTCTTCTAATATTCAGCAGTTTTGATTGTTGCCTTACATCTGACCTGTATTTAGATCTGTCTGATTCCTGGCATATTTGTGGAAAATAAGTACCACTATGTGCAAATAAAACTATTTTTTTTCTTTCGAATTCAGAGGCCAGTTACTAGATGTTTTTTTCTTCATCTGACGTTTTCATATTTGACTTTATTAATTTTTATCCCAATGTGGTGTCTTAACCATACATAAGTATGTGATAATTTTTATATTATTTATATATATTTTTTTTGGTGAACCCATTGAGAGTAAATTATAACCATCATGATTCTTTCTTTCTCTCTCCTTTTTTCCCTCTCTTTCTCTCCCTCCCTCCTTTTCTTTCTTTCTTCCTTTTTTTCAGACAGGGTCTCACTGTGTCACCCAGGCTGGAGTGCAGTGGCACGATCTCGGCTTGCCACCACCTTGACCTGCCCCCGGGCTCAAACTAGCTGGGACTACAGGCATGCCACCACGCCTGGATACTTTTTGAATTCTTTGCAGAGGCGGAGTTTTATCGTGTTGCTCAGGCTAGTCTCAAACTCCTGAGCTCAAGGGATCCACCTGCCTCAGCCTCCCAAAGTGTTGGGATTACAGAGGTGCACTACCATGCCTGGTGCCCTATGACCTTTCATCTGTAAATACTCTGATGTGTTATCTCCTATGAATAAGGGTATTCTCTAATGAACATATAATGATCAAAATCAGGATATTTAGCATTGTGACAATAATATTATCTAATGTACACGATCTACTAAAACTTTGCCAGTTGTCCCAATTATGCCATTTATTGCCATTTTTTTTCCATTTTAGGATCACACATTGTATTTAGTTATGTCTCCAGTCTCTTCAAACCTGCAACAGTTCTTCACCTTTTTGTTTTGTTTTTTGTTTTGTTTGTTTTTGTCTTCGATGATACTGATATTTTTGCAGAGTCCAGGTCATTTGTTTTATAGAATAAGTTTCTCTGATTGTTCTTCATGATTCGATTTTTGGTAGGAATAACACAAGAGATGTTATGTCTCAGTGTATCACACCAGGAGGGGCATATATCAGCTTGTCCCATTATTGGTGATGTCCCCAACTGGTGGCCTCTGCCAGATTTTTCCCCTTTAGCAATAAATAAGTAATCATATTAGTTGAGTAATAACATTGATTCAGATAGAAATTTTTAGCATAAGTCACTACCTATAAAAGGAAAATGTCCTTTAAGCATGAGATTTTAACTGGCTTAAAATAACTAAATTTTATTGAAAACAAAAGTAGCTGCAGACAAGGCAGCATTTATTACAATTAAATATTCAGTTTGCAAAATACTTCATCTGAGATAATCTTATAATTTAGATAGGCAGGGCAGAAATTTCTCACTATATAAGGTGAGGAAATAGCTTACTCCATTAGAAATGATGGAGCAGGGACTTGTATCTTTCTTTCAAAAGTTTTGTACTTTTCCTACCATGCTGGACTGAAAAACATTAAATTACAAAGCCCTGATAGCCTGCAACTTTCTGGAAAAGTAAAATATTGTAGAGACTGAGATACTAGCTTTAGACTCAAAACTAGATTCAAACAATCCTGATTATATCACTAATCTGTGACACCTTGCTCAAAACAATTCATGTATCAGCATTTTAGTGTTTTCATCTAAAACATGGAATCATAAAACTTATCACATAATGTAGTTTGAGGATTTCACAGTTAATAAATGGAAGGCACCCAAGAGAGTGTCTCACAGAATAAGTGCATATCAATATTAGCTATTGTTATTCTTTGTAACTTTTGGAATTTGATTTGGTGTCAACACCACTGCACCTACTCCTACCATCATCACCAATGCTTCCATCAATACTTCAGCCACCATATCAATAATCAGTGTTTTGAGAGTCTATAGGAGGGACAGAGGCTACAAAAATGAATTGGAGACTGACCCTGCTCATAATGAAGAATCAACAACTTACAATCCACTGTGGGAGGTAGAGGTGGGTGTATTGCTTGAGCCCAAGAGTTCAAGACCAGCCTGGGCAACATGGCAAAACCCCATCTCTACAAAAAGCACAAAAAGTACCCAGGCATGATCTGTAGTCCTAGCTACCTGGGAGGCTGAGTTGGGAGGATCACTTGAGCCCAGGAAGTTGAGGCTGCTGTGAGCCTTGATCGCACCACTGCACTCCAGCCTGGGCAACAGAACAAGACCCTGTCTCAAAAATAAAAAAATAAAAATAAAAAAAGAGTTTACAATCAAGAGAAACAGACACATAAAATATTACTCTTTTATTGATACTAAAATTTAATGCTGAACTCTTCTCAAGTTGGATTTACCTATAATGTGATCACCAGCAGAGCCTTACTGGGATGGAAAATGTGACAAATACTAACAGCAATATTATGAGAATTGAAGTGGAGCAGCCCAAACACGAAGGAAAGAGATATGCTTTGGGGGAAGTTTAGAAACAGCTTTCAGTAAGACTGCACAACTTTGTCATGCATTTGAAATAACGCTACCCAGTGAAAAATGTGCTGGGCGTGGTGGCTCATGCCTGTAATCCAAACACTTTGGGAGGCTGAGGCAGGAGGATCACTTGAGGTCAGGAGTTTGAGACCAGCCTGGCCAACATGGTGAAACCCCATCTCTACTAAAAATACAAAACTTAGCCAGGCCTGGTGGTGGGTGCCTGTGATCCCAGTTACTGGAGAGGCTGAGGCAGGAGAATTGCCTGAGGTGGAGGTTGCAGTGAGCCGAGATCTTGCCACTGAACTTCAGTCTGGGTGACAGAGCGAGACACCATTTCAAAAAAAAAAAAAAATGACCAAATTATAAAATAGGATCACCAGTCAGCAAAAAGCTGTAGCAATAGTTTTGTGGAAGGTGCTTGGATTCCAAATCCTCTGCAGGCTCTCTTGCTATGTCAGTGTTTTCACATACCTGGAAAACTTTCAAAGTTAGAACTCTAGTAGATACCATTGTTGGGAATTTGAGCATCTCTTTCCTTTCTGTAAAACAAGGGTTAATTAGAATAACTGTCAACAGAATTGTTATGAGAAGCAAATGTAAATAGCAACACACTCTGTCAGCAGCTATAGTTCCTCAAAGCAAAGGACTAAGAGCTGGTCATAGCTAATTATAAAGGAATTAAAGTCTGTTTTCCTTTTTCTTCCCAGCATTTCCACTTTAAAAAACCTCATATAAAATACATATAACATAAATTTTGCCTTCTTAACTTATAAAGGTACAGTTTCGTGGCATTAAGTACATTCACATTGTTGTGCAACAGCTGCCACAAGCCATCTTCAAAACTTTGTTCATCTTGCAAAAATGAAACTCTGTACTCATTAAGCAATAACTTCTCATTTCCTCCTCCCCACCACTCCTAACAACCACCATTCTACTTTCTTTCTCTATGAATTTGACTATTCTAGGCATGCTGTATAAGTGGAATCAGACTGTGTTTATTCTAGGTGTGCTGTAAAAGTGGAATCACACTGTATTTGACTATTCTAGGCACTCTTTACAAGTGGAATCAGACTGTATTTGACTATTTAGGCATTCTGTATGAGTGGAATCAGACCGTGTTTGACTATGCTAGGCACTCTGTCTGTGTAAGTATAATCAGACTGTATTTGTCCTTCAATGACTGGCTTATTTCACTTAGCATAATGTCCTCAATGTTTCTTCATGTTACGACATGTGTCAGAATTTCCTTCCTTTTTAAACCTGAAATATGTTCCGTTGTATGCACATGCCATGTTCTGTTTATCCATTCATCTGTCTCTGCACACTTGCGTTGTTTCTATCTTTTCGTTGTTGTAAATAATGCTGCTACGAAAATGAGTGAACCAATATCTCTTTGAGACCCTGCTTTCAATTTTGAGGTATATATACCCAGAAGTGAAATTGTTAGATCCTATGGTCATTCTATTATTAGTTTTTTGAGGAACTGCCATAGTGTTTCCGTAGTGGCTGCACACATCTTACATTCTCACCAGCAATGCACAAAGGTTTTCATTTCTCCACATCCTCACCCACACTTGTTATTTTCTGTTTTTTTTTTCTTTTATTGTAGCCTTTCTAATGGGTATGAGGTAGTATCTATTTCCACTTTTTAAAGAACCATTTCCTCCCTCTTCTGGTTTGCTCTGGTTTTTTTTTGTTTTCCTCCTTTTTCTCAAAATCAAATTTAAGAAGAGATCTGTCTCTAATCACATTCTTCATATGAACATAAATCAGAAGACTTCCCTAGATATAATGAAAACCAACCTCCACCCCACCACCCCGAAAAACAGAATACAGAGAAAAAGAAACCGAAGGAATAGAGAAAAAAGAAAACACAAATGATAGTTGAAAGAAATAGAAACATATCAGTAATTACGATAAATACATATGGACAAAATGCTTAGTTAACTAAGAAATAGTCATATTGCATTTAAAAAATCTAAATATATGCTATTTATGAAAGACACATTTAAACAAAAAGATATGGGAAGGTTGAAAGCAAAAGTGTATAAAAATGTATATCAGTCACATAACAACCAACATAAAATTGATCAACTATATTAATATTATGCAAAGTACTTTAACGCAAGAAAAGCATCAGTAGTGGTAAAGAGAGTCACTAAATAATGATAAAAATTTCATTCATCAGGTAGTTGTAATAATTCTAAATGTATATGTTCCTAAGAACACAGCATCAAAATAGAAAAATGAAAATTGACAGAAGCAAAAATCTGTAAGGACAAATAGACAAATCCACAACTAAGAGAATATTTTAAACATATCTCTTGGTATTTGGTAGATCGACCAGACAAAAATTTGGTAAGAGAGCTGCTAAAAGTGCTGAAATGTAAATTTGGGTAAGTCACTGTGAAGAATAGAAATATGTAAACTATTTGGGATATGGCTATAAAAATTAACAGGATTATTTTTCCCCAATTACCCAAGAGAATAAATGCCTTTCATCTATGAAATAATCAACCAGACAAAAGCTTAGAAATTGTACTCTATTGGTGGGAAGTGAATTAGATGAGTAATGTTTCCCCTTGTTTTAAATAAAAAGGCTTTATACTATTAAAAATAATGACTATCTAATTGTGAGCAAACATTAGAAAAACCCACCTTGAAGGACATTCTACAACATGTTGACCAGGACTCTTCAAAACTGTCAAGGTAAGGATTTGGGGATACTAAGGAAAAATGCAAACTAAATGGATTCTGGACTAGAAAAAAGGACATTAGTGAAAAAACAAACTGATTATATTGGAATAAGGTCTATTCCTTAGTTAATAGTATTGTAACAATGTCGATTTCTTGGTTTTAATAGATTTACCTCAGTTGTATACGTCGTTACCATTAGGGGAGGTTGGTTAGAGGGCATATAGAAACTCTGTTTTGTTTTGTAACTTTTTTGGAATTCTAAAATTATTTCAGAATAAAAAGTCTCAAAAAATAAACGATAACCAGTTAATCCGTTTACACATATCTAACTTCATTTTAACTTTAACATTTAATTTCTTTTGGTATTATCTACTCTTTTACCACCTGGCTTTAGAGATGAGATAAAATCTTCAAAGAACAGGTAGGAGAGAGCTTTTTGAATGCCAGAGTCACTTTTTCTTTGCATATTTTAAAGAGACTGCTTGTGTATTTACTTACTGTTACCAAATATAATGTGTAGTGTATTTCAAACAATAGTGAATACTCCTTGGTTTGTACTTGAGTTAAGTTGACTAATAATTATAAAGAGTTTTTTCCATGTTCAAGGACAACTTGATTTTTTTTTTTTTTTTTTGAAAAAGGGAGTAACATTTGCTGAGCCAGGAATTATTTATGCTATGTTCTTTTACCCAAGGTTTCTTTATTTCTTTGTTTTGCTTCCAACTTTCTTTCCTTTGAAATTGGTGCTTTGGTGGCTTTGATCTAAGGCAGAGAAGTTCAAAGGCATTGCTGAGGCAGACCAGTAGCACCTCATTCTTTCTCTTATTGATACCAGCACAGCTATTGCTGATAGCTTATATATCTGCATGTTCAGATATTGCTTATAAAAATAACTGTCTAAACCAGGTATGGTGGCCCATACCTGTAACCCCAGCAACTCAGGATATTGAGGCTGGAGGATCGCTTGAGCCCAAGAGTTTTGAGATTGCAGTGAGCCATGATCGCGCCACTGCACTCCAGGCTGTGTGCAGAGCAAGACTTTGACTCTAAAAATAATAATGGCAATAATAATTAGTAAATGATCAATCAATAAATATCTGAGTTCCCTTATTAGTGCCATAAGGAATGGGTCAGTCTCATAAAAATAAATATCTGAATTATATTTCTGAGTAACTGAAATGACTTCCTTTTCATTGACTGAATTTCCCTTATGCTTTTCCTCTTGAATCTTCCTTATTAGTGTCATATAAAAATGCATTTTTCAGCATATTAAGGCCATCGTAGTCTAACCTCAATGTCTGTGCAAGAAGGAACAATTTTAAGACATGACTGTAATTGTCACATTTCCCTAAGTCTTTTCTACTTCAGACTAAAAGAAATGGATAGTTGAACACTGAAAAGGAACTCTTGTTGAAATCTTATGAGTGTTTGGAGTAAGCAAAAATGAAAACTCAGGAGGAAATGGGAACCATAAATATTCTGCTTAGTGAATCATACATTATATTAGTCACCCATTTGACAAACACTTATTGAGTCTTAGGCACTCTGTTAGGCACTGAAGATAAAGAACTTTTTCCCTGACCAACAATAAAATAAGTGCCCATTTTCAAGCGGATGCTCTTTTAGATACGGTACCCCTCTCATAAAAGTTATATCCGCAGCCGGGTGCGGTGGCTCATGCCTGTCATCCCAGCACTTTGGGAGGCCGAGACGGGCGGATCACGAGGTCAGGAGATCGAGACCATCCTGGCGAACACGGTGAAACCCCGTCTCTACTAAAAAGTACAAAAAAACTAGCCGGGCGAGGTGGCGGGCGCCTGTAGTCCCAGCTACTGAGGAGGCTGAGGCAGGAGAATGGCGTGAACCCGGGAGGCGGAGCTTGCAGTGAGCCGAGATCGCGCCATTGCACTCCAGCCTGGGAGACAGAGCCAGACTCTGTCTTAAAAAAAAAAAAAGAAAAAAGTAAACAAATAGATAAACAAGGTAATTTTAGAGAGTGTTAAGTCTTTTGAAAAGAAAATAAAGCAGAATAACAGAATGGAGATGGAATGAGGTGAAAGGTGAGGTCTAGTCTGGGTAGGGTGGGGAGGGTTGGCCCTCTAAGGAGATAACATGCTGAATTGGAATATTCTTAGAAACAGCAAGAGTGGTGCCAGGCCCTTGGGTGGGAATGAGCTTGATGTGTTTATTTTATTTTTATTTTTATTTTTTTGAGAGGGAGGCTTGCTCTTGTCACCCAAGCTGCTGCTGTGCAGTGGTGCGATCTCAGCTCACTGCAACCTCCGCCTTCCACGTTCAAGTGATTCTCCTGCCTCAGCCTCCCGAGTAGCTGGGGTTACAGGTGTGCACCACCACACCCAGCAAATTTTTGTATTGTTACTAGAAATGGGGTTTCACCATGTCGTCCAGGCTGGTTTTGAACTCCCGACCTCAGGTGATCCACCTGCCCCAGTCTCCCAAAGTGCTGGGATTACAAGGGTGAGCCACTGCACCCAGCGATGTGTTTAGAAAGAGTGCAGTTTGTGGAATGTTCCTCGATTTGGGTATATCTAATGTTCCCTCATGATTAGATTCAAGTTAATCATTTGGGGCATTTTTGGCAATTGGATAAGAGGTGTTGTGTTGTTCTCAGTGCATTGCAGATGGAACCTCATGCCAGAAGACAAAATAAAAGGCTGCAAAACTGTTCCAGATTCAATAGACTAAAGAAACTTGGCACATGTAATGCATTTATTGTTTCTCTAAGGAACATTATTGAGATAATTGGTGAATAATACAGTGTCATTGTTAAATTTCTTGAATTTGACAATTGTATGAAGAGGAATGTCCTTGTTCTTAGAAAATACAAGCGGAAGTGTTTAGGGGTAAAGGGCCATAGTGTCTGCAAATCGCTCACAAATGATTCAGCAATCATACTGTAATATACACATAGAGAAAGGAATAAATCAAATGTAGCACACTGTTCTCACAATTGGTTAATCAAAGTGAAACATACTTGAGTTCATTGG